CTACTCACATTTGCATGTTTTTGAACTGTTAGGTTGGCAGAAGCTGGGTCTAACAGTGGGTGCTCACCCTGCTCCCTGGATTCGAGCCGCCAACTTTTCGGTCAGCAAGTTTAGCAGCTCGGTGGTTTAATCTGCTGTGCCACCACAGGGCCCTGTTATTATTACTCTCCCTGTGGACATCAGACTGGCGCCCTCCCTTATGACATTCCGCAAGAGACTAAAGACGTGGTTGTTTGAGAAGGCGTTTGAGTAAATGCTGCAACAATTGGCAATGACGATTGGAACGGAACATGGATAACGAGATTTGGATTGTGATTCAATGATGAGACGTCGCGAATGATTTAGTGTAATTGTATTATTGATAGTGATGTTGTTTATTGTTGTTTGTGATATTGCTTATGTTGCAAATTGTACCTGTTTTTATATGTTGTACACCGCCGTGAGTCGCCCTAGGGCTGAGAACGGCGGTCTACAAATGCAGTAAATAAAATAAATAAATAAATAAATAAATATATCTTGTAAGCTGTTGTTTGAGGTGAGAGGCTTGAATTATTATTAATAATAATAATAATAATAATTGAAAAGTTGGCGACAGATCCCAAATGTAAACTCTGCAAGGAAGCAGATGAAACAATAGATCACATTTTCAGCTGCTGCAAGAAGATTGCACAGACAGACTACAAGCAGAGACACAACACCATTGCTCAGATGATTCATTGGAACTTGTGCCACAAATACCATCTGCCTGTGACAACTAACTGGTGGGATCACAAGCCGGAAAAAGTTACAGAAAATGAACACGTCAAACCCCTCTGGGACTTCCGAATTCAGACAGAAAAAGTTTTGGAGCATAATACTCCTGACCTCACAGTCGTGTTAAAAAACAAAGTATGGATTGTCGATGTTGCAATCCCAGGTGACAGCAGGATTGAAGAGAAACAACTGGAAAAGCTGACACGATATGAGGATTTAAAGATCGAACTGCAAAGACTGTGGCACAAGCCAGTCAAGGTGGTCCCAGTGGTGATCGGCACACTGGGTGCAGTGCCTAAAGACCTTGGCCTGCACTTAAACACAATCGGCACTGACAATATAACCATCTGCCAGCTGCAAAAGGCCACCCTACTGGGAATTGTCCGACGTGTGATCCAATACAACAGCCAGCAGAGTGATCTTCTCTGCTGTGGTCTCATCTTGTTGTGTTTCTAATAATAATAATAATAATAATAATAATAAATAATAATAATAATCGAAAATACATCACACAGTCTTAAACGCTTTGGAAAGTGTTCAATTTGTGATTTTGTGATACGAAATCCAGCACAGATATCTCGCTTGCTGTGTCATGCTGTGTTTTGTGTCAGTAAAATAATAATAATAATAATAATAATAATAATAATAATAATAATAATATCATCCCACTTTCCTCTCTTAACCTAGATTTAAGTAGACAAGCGCAAAGTGTCGCTTCCATTTCCACGATATAATTCAAATATGGAACAAAAATGTTTGATGACGTTAACATACCTTTCAAGAACTTGGTTATATCCCCTGCCCCTAACATGACCTACCTTGAACACTGCAGATCCCAAAATCTCGGTGATTCTTCCTGCGGGAAGCACAGCATCTCTGTATCCATAGGCTACTGGATGGGCCTCAACTGCCATGGAATTCTCTATCTCCATCCTTCTTTCGATGGAACAAGAATGGCCACTTCCGCAACTTCCACAGCGATAATCAATACTCAATTTTTGCTACTAATAGTCAATCTGTTGTATTTTTCTAAGCAGTTGGTGAGTCTCCTTCCTTTGGTTTTTCTCCCTCCCTCCTTGTCATCACATTTGTTTGGCTGTCTTTCGCCTGTCTCCAGTTTCCAGATTTCTATGCTGGTTTGCTCATATTATGTTACTGGGATTGTTGTTTGGCAATAGCTTTACCAACGTGTTGGAGTCACAATCTAAAATTAGTGTTGCCATAGTTCAAGCTGGGGTGGGCTCCTGTGCCTTTAATGCTCTTAGGTAGAAAAGAGAATTTAAGATGGCATTGCTTGTTTGTTTTTTTAATGTTGTGTGCTGTGTTTGTTTCCTGCCTTGATCCATTTTGAGAAATAAATAATAATATTATAATAATTATTATTATAATATCTTGTTTGCTGTGTGCTAATCTTGTTGTGTATCTAATAATAATAATAATAATAATAATAATAATAATAGGATTTAACGATTGAACTGCAAAGACTCTAGCACAAGCCAGTAAAGGTGGCTCCAGTGGTGATCGGCACACTGGGTAAAGTGCCTAAATACCTTGGCCTGGACTTAAAAACAATCAGCGCTGACAAAATTACCATCTGCCAGCTGCAAAAGGCCACCCTACTGGGACCTACATGCATTATTCGCCGATATATCCCACAGTTTTGACCTACAAAACCCTATACGGTTCCGGCCCAGTGTATCTGTCCGAATGGATCTCCCTCTACGTCCCACCTCGGAGTTTAAGATCTTCTGGGGAGGCCCTGCTCTCAACCCCGCCTCTATCACAAGTGAGATTGGCGGGGACGAGGAGCAGGGCCTTCTCGGTGGTGGCCCCTCACCTGTGGAATTCACTCCCCGGGGAAATTAGATCAGCGACATCCCTCCTTTCCTTTAGGAAAAAATTGAAAACATGGATTTGGGACCAGGCATTCGGACAATCTGGCAGATAAAGAAAGGACTTTGATGATGGACAGGAATTGACTAAGTGGAATGGAAATATGGAACTCTGAAAGACGAACGCTGAGCATGAGATTAGTTTTATTGATTTGTTTTTAACTTGATAATTGTTTTAATTGCTGTTTTGTATGTATGTGTATTTTGTGTAGGCATCGAATTGTGCCTTTTTGTAAGCCGCCCTGAGTCCCCCCTCGGGGGTTGAGAAGGGCGGGGTAGAAGTACTCGAAATAATAATAATAAATAACAGTCCTAGGCACTTGGGAAGTGTCCAACATGTGATCAAATACAAAAGTCAGCAGAGTGATCTTGTTTGCTGTGTACTAATCTTGTTATGTATCTAATAATAATAATAATAATAATAATAATAATAATAATAATAATAATAATAATAATAACACTTATGTCACAAGTACCACCTGCCAGTAGTAAAGAAGTTGTGGGATCATAAACCTGCAAAGATAGGGAAAATGAACACGCAAAAATACTATGGGACTTTCGAATCCAGACTGACAGAGTTTTGGAACACAATACACCAGACATCATGATTGTGGAAAAGAAAAAAGTTTTGATTATTGATGTCGCCATACCGGGTGACAGTTGCATTGAGGAAAAACAACAGGAAAAACTCAGCCGTTATCAAGGCCTCAAAATCGAACTGCAAAGTTTTGGAACAGAATGCACCAGACATCACGATTGTGAAAAAGAAAAAAGTCTGGATTATTGATGTCACCATACCAGGTGACAGTCACATTGAGGAAGAATAACAGGAAAAACTCAGCTGTTATCAGGACCTCAAAATCAAACTACAAAAGCTCTGGCATAAACCAGCCCAGATGGTCCCAGTGGTCATCGGCACACTGGGTGCCATGCCAAAAGATCTCAGACGGCATTTGGAAACAATAAACATTGACTAAATCACAATCTGTCAACTGCAAAAGGCCACCTTACTTGGATCTGCACGCATCATTCGAAAATACATCACACAGTCCTAGACGCTTGGGTAGGGTTCGATTTGTGATTTTGTGATACGAAATCCAGCATCTAGATCAGTGTTTCTCAACCTGGGGGTCGGGACCCCGAGAGGGGTCATGAGAGGGTGTCAGAGGGGTCGCCAAAGACCATCAGAAAGCACAGTATTTTCTGTTGGTCATGGGGGTTCTGTGTGGGAAGTCTGGCCCAATTCTATCGTTGGTGAGGTTCAGAATATTCTTTGATTGTAGGTGAACTATACATCCCAGCAACTACAACTCTGAAATGTCAAGGTTTATTTTCCCCAAACTCTACTAGTGTTCACATTTGGGCATATTGAGTATTTGTGCCAAGTTTGGTCCAGATCCATCATTGTTTGAGTCCACAGTGCTCTCCGCATGTAGGTGAACTACAACTCCAAAACTCAAGGTCAATGCCCACCAAACCCTTCCAGTATTTTCTCTTGTTCATGGGAGTTCTGTGTGCCAAGTTTGGTTCAATTCCATCATTGGTGGAGTCCAGAATGCTCTTTGATTGTAGGTGAACTATAAATCCCAGCAACTTCAACTCCAAAATGACAAAATCAATTCCCCCCAAGTATTCAAACTTGGGAATATCAGGTATGTGTGCCAAATTTGGTCCAGTGGATGAAAATACATCCTGCATATCAGATATCATATGATGATACATAACAGTTGCAAAATTACAGTTATGAAGTAGCAATGGAAATAATTTTATGGTTGGGGGTCACCACAACATGAGGAACTGTAGTAAGGGGTCACAGCATTAGGAAGGTTGAGAACCACTGATCTAGATCTTGTTTGCTGTGACATACTGTGGTTTTGTGTCAGTAAAATAATAATAATAATAATAATAATAATAATAATAATAATAATAATAATAATAATGCCTGCAACCAAATCCATCCTGTTATATTTATATTCATTCCTTGCACAATCCTAAAGCCCAACAACACACTCAAAATTAAGTGTCTCTTCTGAGTTAGTTGGAGACATCATGTTTCAGAAAGGAAAGTACATCCATTTGCACCCAGCATTGAGCACTAAGCGTGTTCTTCCCTAACTTGGTTGCTCTCTGCCCAAATAGTTCTGTTTTTCTCCTTGCAATTTCCACAAACCATGACAAGGGTCACCTTATTAGCACTCGGGTCACATCCCATATTCTTTCCCCGGAGAAGAAATGAATGAGTGAGGAGGCCACCGAAAGGGAGCTTTTCACTCTCTGGTGGCCAAGTGGAACCACTGGGAATTTTAATCACGGCATACAGATTAAAACTTACATTTTGGGAAGAAAGAGGCTCACCTTGGTTTACTTTTCCTCCGCTTCACTGCTTCCTAGGTTATTCCTTCCGTCGGACTCAAGGGCCTTTGCTTGCCGTCTTTGCACAAGAACCCAAAAGGAGCAGGACTGGGATCCCCAAAGTCTGAAAAAGAGGGGTCGGGTCCTTCAAACTCTGCCCACAATGGGAGGAGCGTCTGCCATCTGTCATTTTTGGAGATGTTCGGTCCAGAAAGGCTGGAAAAGATTGGAACGCTGTAATCCGAGCGTCGAAGCTGCTGAACATATGGCTGCCTTTTTAACAAAAAGAAAACGAGAAAAGAGGACAAAATGATCAAGTTCTTGCCAGGCAGAGGCATAATCTCCCTTTCACAGTTTGCAGACAGATTTTGCTGAATCTCTTCTCTTTTGAGGGAGGAAAAAAGAAAGGATGCCAACCAGAATATTGAACCAAAATACCATTGCTAAAAGTTTTGATTCTTTAGTTTTTCAAGACTCTGTCTTCAAGACACATCCTAAACAAACACATTGTATCACAAAAATATTGAAAAGTTTGGAAAGATTTCTTTATCTTCTTGGTGTCTCAATAGGATTGGAATCTCAGTCCAGGGTCTGCTTTTAAATATCTTCAAAAGGACACTTTTGGAAAGATTCATTTCTTGTCTTGGTGTCATAATGAGATTGCAATTTTCTGTCAAGAAACACCATAAACCAGTGTTTCTCAACCTTCCTAATGCCGCAACCCCTTAATACTATTCCTCATGTTGTGGTGACCCGTGACCATAACATTATTTTCGTTGCTACTTCATAACTTCATAAAATTATCAAGGGTCTGGAGAACAAGCCCTATGAGGAGCGGCTTAAGGAGCTGGGCATGTTTAGCCTGAAGAAGAGAAGGCTGAGAGGAGATATGATAGCCATGTATAAATATGTGAGAGGAAGCCACAGGGAGGAGGGAGCAAGCTTGTTTTCTGCTGCCCTGGAGACTAGGACGCGGAACAATGGCTTCAAACTACAAGAGAGGAGATTACATCTGAACATTAGGAAGAACTTCCTGACTGTGAGAGCCGTTCAGCAGTGGAACTCTCTGCCCCGGAGTGTGGTGGAGGCTCCTTTTTTGGAAGCTTTTAAACAGAGGCTGGATGGCCATCTGTCAGGAGTGATTTGAATGCAATATTCCTGCTTCTTGGCAGGGGGTTGGACTGGATGGCCTACGAGGTCTCTTCCAACTCTTTGATTCTATGATTCTATGTACTTTTGCTACTGTTCTGAATCGTCATGTAAATATCTGATATGCAGGATGTATTTTCATTCACTGGACCAAATTTGGCACAAATACCCAATACGCCCAAATTTGAATACTGGTGGGGTTGAGAGGGGTTGATTTTGTCATTTAGGAGTTGTAGTTGCTGGGATTTATAGTTAACTGACAATTAACAGGCATTCTGACCTCCACCAACAATGGAATTGAACCAATCTTGGCACACAAGACTCCCATGACCAAAAGGAAATACTGGAAAAGTTTGTTGGGCATTGACCTTGAGTTTTGGAGTTGTAGTTCACCTACATCCGGAGAGCACTCTGGACTCAAACAAATAGACCTTGACATCTGGGAGTTGTAGTTGCTGGGATTTATAGTTTACCTAGAATCAAAGAGTATTCCGAACCCCACCAACGATAGAATTGGGCCAAACTTCCCACACAGAACCTCATGCCTTGAAGGGACTCGCTGATGTGAGCCTCCCTCCAGTCTTGCATGCTCTCCCTCGCTCACACATGTGCACCACGCAGTCATGCGTTGTGCACGCCTGCTCTCCCCTCCCTGCTTGGAGTCTCAGAAACAGCCTTCCCCTTGGCTGAGCCAATCACAGCAGGAGGAGGGCTTTTGGTGGGAGGATTCGCCATTTGTGTCCCAAAAGGAAGAGATGGACATGCAGAGAGATCTTCAGCTTTCTCTGCCAATGGGGTTCCTAAGACCATCAGGAATATATGTTTTCTGATGGTGTTTGGTGACCCTTCTGAAATCCCCTCACAACCTCCCCAGGGTACCAACCCCCAGGTTGAGAAACACTGCCATAAACAATAAAAACAAATGGTAAAATTTCTTACTCGTCTTGCTTGTTTTTCTAGTTTGTGTCTTCAAAATGCATGAACATCAACAAAAATAGAAAGATTTCTTTCTCTTCTCAAGTGTCTCACTTGGATTAAAATCTCGCTGCATCACAATAACAAATATCAGGAAATTCTTTCTCTTCTTGGTGTCTCAACAGGATTGCATTCTCCTTTCATTTCAAGGTGCACCAGTCTTGAATCTCTTTTTAAAATACCCTCAAAAGGTCTCTCTCGGGACGCTTTGTGGTTTTAGAAAAGTAAATCCAATTAGAAGGGGGGAAAAAACTGGCCCCAGTTTGGAAACTGGAGGGAGGCTGGCAAGGAAAGGAAGGAGAGGCACAAAAGAAAGTTTTGTTTGCCGGTTGTGTAATTGTGTCAGGGGCTGTTCTGGGATATCAATATGCCTTGGAGAAAAAAGCTTTCTCACCAAGTTCTCAGTTTAGAAAGCTATGCAGCTCGGCCTTCAATGGCATCTGAATCTCAAGAAAGCCAACTGCCTTTGCTTTGGCGTGTTCTTTCTAAAACTGTCCCCATTTCTTGCTCAAAAATAAAGACAACTGTCCCAATTTGGCAGGAAAAGTTCTGATTAATTTTCTGCCATCCCAGTTTTTCAGTTTTCTTTAAAATGTCCCAGTTTCTTTCTGCTCTGTCACCTTTTTCCTTGGTCCTCAGTTGCTGCAAAAGTAGGGGAGAAGAAGGAATTGAGTCTTATCCTTCCCAACAGGATCAGGCAAAAGCAACCTGCTGCAAATGCAACAATACTCCTGACTTCACGATCGTGTTAAAAAACAAAGTATGGATTGTCGATGTCACAATCCCAGGTGACAGCAGGATCAAAGAGAAACAACTGGAAAAGCTGACACAATATGAGGATTTAAAGATCTAACTGCAAAGACTGCCACAAGCCTGTCAAGGTGGTCCCAGTGGTGATCGGCACACTGGGTGCAGTGCCTAAAGACCTTGGCCTGCACTTAAACACAATCGGCACTGACAAAATTACCATCTGCCAGCTGCAGAAGGCCACCTTACTGGGATCTGCACACATTATTCGCCGATACATCACGCACTTGAGAAGTGTCCGACGTAATACAACAGCCAGCAGAGTGTCTGCTGTGGACTCATCTTGTTATGTTTCAAATAATAATAGTAATAATAATAACTTTATTCTTATATCCCACCATCATCGCCCAGAAGGGACTTGGGGCCGCTTACAAGCGGGACCAAGCCCAAAATGTACAACAAGATTTGCCAACAGAAACAAAAAAGAAAAAAGAAAGAAAACACAGTTTAAAACATAACATTTATTTGTTTATTTATTTATTTATTTATTTATTTATTGTATTTTTATCCCACCTTTTTCAGCCCAAGGGCGACTCAAAGCGATGTACAAATTGGTAACAGTTTGATGCCACGACATACATAAATACCAATTAAAAACATTTAACATAGCATAATACAAATCTATATAAAACCATTAAAACTATAATCATCCATGTCTTCCAGTCAAACTCCTTATCCTTTAGCATTGTTTAAAGCCATAATGTGTTCACTATTTCATAGTACCGTGTTTATCTGTTATGCTACATTTCCAAAAGCCTGTTCGAAGAGCCAGGTTTTTACTCTTTTCTGAAAAGTCAGGAGGGAGGGATCTGATCTAATATCCCTAGGAAGGGAGTTCCACAACCAAGGGGCCACCACTGAGAAGGCCCCATCTCTCATCCCCACCAAATGCACCTTTGGGGAAGGAGGGATCGAGAGCAGGGCCTCCCCAGATTTGAAGTTCCTAGATGGTTCATAAGGAGAGATACGTTCAGATAATACAATAGGGCAGTGGTTCTCAACCTGTGGGTCCCCAGATGTTTTAGTCTTCAGATGATAAAGTGGCTAGGATTTCTGGAGGTTGTAGGTCAAAACACCTGGGGAACCACATGTTGGGAACCACTGGTCTACGGCAACCCAAGAATCTAGCCAGTCCGAATGTCCAGGAAATTCCTTAGTGGGGTCATCTGGGAGGCAAAAAGCCCCGTGCTTTTCTTTGCTAAATTTACGTATTTGATACATAATTTGGTACACAAAAAAGTATGATAGAGAGTAAAGGATACAAGATAAGCAAAAGTTGCAAGGAAAGATACATTTTATTAAAGGGTTGAGAGCAATAAAGTTTTTGGATAAGACTTGCTGCTGCAGTTCTAGTCTGCACATGCGCTGATACTAATCAACGCATACCTGTGAACCTTCTGTGCGCAAAGACCTACAAGCCACTCTAAACACCTTCGCGGAAGCATACAAGACGCTCAGCCTCTCATTGAACATCAAGAAAACCAAAGTGCTGTTCCAGCAGTCACCAGCCAATCCCTCTCCAATGCCAGAGTTACAGCTTAATGGTGTAGAAAATGTTGACAATTGCCACTAACTTGGCAGCCACCTCTCCACCGAAGTCAACATTGACACTGAAATACAACACTGCCTGAGCTCTGTGAGTGCAGCATTTTTCCGAATGAAGCAGAGAGTGTTTGAGGACCGGGACATCCGTAGGGATACCAAGGTGCTTGTTTATAAAGCTATTGTCCTCCCAACCCTGCTATATGCCTGTGAGTGGACTGTCTACAGACGTCACATGCAACTCCTGGAACAATTCCATCAGCACTGCCTCTGAAAAATCCTGCAAATCTCTTGGGAAGACAAGTGGACAAATGTCAGCGTGCTGGAAGAAGCAAAGACCACCAGCATTGAAGCGATGGTCCTCCGCCATCAACTCCGCTGGACCAGCTATATTGTCTGGATGCCTGACCACCATTTCCCAAAGCAGTTGCTTTACTCCAAACTCAAGAATGGAAAATGGAATGTTGGAGGACAAGAAAAGAGGTTTAAAGACGGGCTCAAAGCCAACCTTAAAAACTTTGGCATAGACACTGAGAACTAGGAAGCCCTGGCCTGTGAATGCTCCAGCTGGAGGTCAGCTGTGACCAACAGTGCTGCAGAATTTGAAGAGGCACGAATGGAGGGCGAAAGAGAGAAACGTACCAAGAGGAAGGCACATCAAGACAATCCCAACCAGGACCACCTTCCATCTGGAAACCAATGCCCTCACTGTGGAAGAAGATGCAGATCAAGAATAGGGCTCCATAGTCTCCTACGTACCTACCCTGGAGGATTATCCTACTTGGACAACGAGGGATCG